TTCACATAAAATAAAAGAAGCATCTTTAAGAAAGAATACGTAAATCAATGCTATGGAATAATCCTTCTGTACACCATAAAGATGTCACTCAAACTGGTTTAATAAAAGGTGACTGGCCAGTAGCCAGGCAGGAAGTATAGGTATGGCAACCAAACTAAGGATGCTGGCATAAAGGGTGGAGTCAGAGATGTCAGCAGAGAGGAAGCAGGATGTGTAGAAAATGAGGTAATAAGCCATGAGCCACATGGTAGAGGGTAGAGAAGAAATACGGGCTAATTTAAAATGTAAGACACAGCTCGTAACAAGCCTGGTTACCAGCCAAGCATTTGCAATTAATATTAAGATTCTAAGTGATTGCCGGGCGATGGTGGCGCACGCCTTTAATCCCAGCACTCGGGAGGCAGAGGCAGGGGGATCTCTGTGAGTTCGAGACCAGCCTGGTCTACAGAGCTAGTTCCAGGGTAGGCTCCAAAGCCACAGAGAAACCCTGTCTCAAAAAAGCAAAAAAAAAAAAAAAAAAAAAAAATAGATTCTAAGTGATTCTTTGGGAGCAGCTGCTGGCACAGGAAAACTCTGCTTACAAATCAACCATTAATTAACTTTTAAAAATTATTATTATAAATTTTTCTTTTTATTAAACATTCTTTTTAAAAAAAATATTTATTATGTATACAATATTCTGCCTGTGTGTATGTCTGCAGGCCAGAAGAGGGCACCAGACCTCATTACAGATGGTTGTGAGCCACCATGTGGTTGCCAGGAATTGAACTCAGGAACTTTGGAAGAGCAGGCAATGCTCTTAACCGAGCCATCTCTCCAGCCCCCTAAACATTGATTCTTAATATATGGAGAAGTGAGGTAAAATTTAGGTAAAAGTGAAAAATCCTTTATTAATTCGTCAAGGGCTGGAGGCTTGACAGAACTATAGATCCAATATTGTTGATTGAAAAAACTAAGGGATGACCAAGGGTTGGGGGTGTAGTCACCGGTACAGTACTCACCTGCACCTAAGCCTGGACAGAAACAGTGGCTGCTGCTGCTACAACTCATAGGCAGGCAATGTACCAGAAAACCTAGCAAACAAAAACTGAACAAAAATGCTCTTTATAAGAGCCTTGCTGGCACTGAATATAGATCAGGAGTAGCTTTTCTCCACCCAGAGTTCAACGCCTCCTTTTCTGGTTCAGTTGCTGAATCTCTCTAGTCCCTGCCCATCAATGCTGGTATCCATGGTGATAAGGATGTCCTGTCACAACACATACAATCCATCTTTCATTGCTGCTCTTCCTGCAGCTCATCTCAAAGCAGGAAGTGAAGAGTTCGAATGAAGAGGTGCGCAGGCCCATGCAGTCCAGAGAGGCTAATTGTGCAGACCTTTGAATGCATGAGCTCACACTCGCTGGGAAAAATAGCCCCTGTCCAGTCTAAAACAGCTCTGTTCTCTTTTCATTATTTTATTCATTTTTTTAGCCTGTATGTATATCTGTGTAAGGGTGCTGGATCCTGGAGTTATAGACAGTTGTAAGCTGGGAATTGAACCTGGGTCTTCTAAAGAGCAGTCAGTGCTCTTAACCACTGAGCCATCTCTCCAGCCCCAACAGCTCTGTTCTCTAGGTGTACAGGAGAATGCACAACTGAGCAATGTGTATTAAACTACAAAAGGGACAAAGGGCTCCCAATCCCACATCATTCCAAAATTGATGGTGATCTTTCTTGCTATCCAGTCATATTTTGCAGACAAAGTTTTGTGTTTAAAATAATTTTTATGGAGCACACATCTGTTTATTAAATTTGAATTCTGGAGTGAAATGCTTTAGCAATGTGAAGATGAAATGTGTTAAATGATTTGAGATAATAAATCAGGGGCAAAGGCTCAAACGAAAAAGTGAAAATGGTATTTATTTAGCTTTTAGGAAATTAAATAACAAAACCCAGAACAAAGCAAAACAAAAACTGTAACATGTCATGAGTGATCATGTCCAATAACAATAGCCCTTATTAAATATAAAAAATAAAATTTACCATTCGTACTTGCTCTTTTCCAAACTTTTACTACATGGATATTTTTAGAAGCTTGAGCTAAGGGGGGTGGGGGGAATCCCAGAGCTACCCAAGCCCCTACCATGTGATTGAGATTTACAGTCCCATAGGGACACGCATTTCTATTCCTGAAGACCCCACATAGCTGGATCTCTTGGAACTCCAGACTGATGCTTTCATGAGTACGCAGGCAACGCCTGTCAGAGCAGGAGCCAACCTTGTCTGGCACTGGTCTGGTCTGGCTTTCTAAGCTCTCCACAGGACAGCAGTTCTGTCTGGCAGCCCAGTCTAAGGCCATTGTTATCTTCAGTGGCAGCCTCCCAACTGCACCAAAACTGGGATTAACGGAATTTAGGTCAAACTTTGACCTGTACTCCTGGGAGCTGGAGGACAATGGGTACAGGAAGATAAGGAGTAACCAAGTGTGATGACTGCACTTACCCACCAATATACAACAAATCTAGAGAAAATGAGCAGGCCACATTTCACTAAGCCCCTCAAAACAGAGGCACACTGAGTGAGCCAAGGCCCCTGTCGGTGCTAACAACCTCAGTTCATCTAGGCCCTTTTCCGAAGAACCTCATTAATCTGTTTCAAAAGGCACCTCTGGCCAGGGCAGAGACCAGAAAGAAGCAGGACTTCCAGCTAAGACAATGGCGCATGGAGTTTAAGTTGTGCAGAAGACTACAGCGTGAGATGACAGCATCACTATATCTAGAGCTGCAGTGCTCGCCTGCTGGATCACACTCCTGGAGCGTCTTAATGCAGCTTAACGGCCGTTGCCCAGATGTCGTTGCTGGGGACCGGGGGAAGGACCCATCCTTGGGGAATGGAGTTGCCTTTGGGATGATCAGACGGCACCAGGTACTGATCCCAATCATGCCTTAATGAGAACATTACAAAACAATGTTTATTTCTGGTTTTCCCCAAGCAAGATATTCAGAAACTATATTTTATATCTAGGATACTATTTTCAAATGGCAGATACACTAACCTGCTACAGAACTTGGTTTCCAGGAAGTATGCCAAGGGTCACACTAATGTACACATTTAAGGAAAACCTTAAGCTTTAACTGTGTAGACAGCCAAACAACAAATGTACAGTTAACTCATTATTTGCATACTCTCTCTGAGACAGGGTTGAGGCTGACCTTGAAGTCCTTATCCTCCTGTCTCCACCTCCCAAGTGTTAGGGCTACAGGCATGAGCTACCACCCTTGGCTATATTAGCAAATTTAAATCATCCCATATGGCATTTTCATGAACCACAAATGTAGAGAGAGGAAAAAAAAAATCTGTCATCTCTCTTTCTTCTTTCCAGCTCTTATAGTAAATCAGCATCCCTGCTGTGGTCTGCTCTGTGCCATGATGTTCTTGCTTCTTACTGGTGACCTTATTGTTTAAAATGGCACCCAAACGTCCTGGTGAAGTGCTGCTGTGGCTTAGTCTAAGAGTTGTGAATCACCTTGGAGAAGATAGTGCGCTCTAGACAAGCTTTATTGGACTCAGATTACAGCACAGTTAGCCCTGATTCAATGCTTGTACTCAACAGCATACATTAAATCAGGTGTCTTCAAACAGAACCACAAAACTGATGGTGATCAGCTAATTAAAAAGTAAGGCAGAGGCTGGAGAGATGGTCCAGCAGTTAAGAACACTGGCTGCTCTCAGAGAGGATCCAGGTTTGACTTCCAGCATCACATGGTGCCTCACAACTGTCTGTAGCTGTCCAGTTCCATAGACTCTGATGCCTTCTCTTGGCCTCCATGGGCAGCAGGTGCAAATATGGCACACAATCAGGCAAAATATCAAACCACATAAATAAGATTAAAAAAAAAACAAAAAACAAAAAAAAACCAAAATCAAGACAAGAGGCTCAGCTGTCTCCTTCAGGAGCAAGGTCTGGTATTCTGTGACTCAATATTCAAAGTAACTTGAGTGGACACCCCATTATCAATAATATGTTTAAAGGCTAAAACTTTTTTTTTTTTTTTTTTTTGGTTTTTTGAGACAGGGTTTCTCTGTGGTTTTGGAGCCTGTCCTGGAACTAGCTCTTGTAGACCAGGCTGGTCTCAAACTCACAGAGATCCGCCTGCCTCTGCCTCCCGAGTTCTGGGATTAAAGGCGTGCGCCACCACCGCCCGGCTAAAGGCTAAAACTTGTGCATCAGACAAAGCTGGAACTCTTCCTGAAAAATAAACTTGATATGCCAGAAAATTCCTTCCCACGATTCAGAAATTACTGTAGTGTTGGAAGGAGCTTCAGTTATTTTCAAGGCATTCTCTGAGACCCCTAGGTCCTAAGATGTTTTAGCCTAGAAAACAAGTTTATACTGCCTGGGACATCTAATCATTTACTCTGTTTTATCTATTGACTTCTCAAAAGATTGTGTGAGGGCAAGAGGCTTTGCTAAAGCTCAAAGGCCACACTCTAGTCTACTATTTCTATTTTATAGGTGAGGGCATCACAATTAGACAGCTGAGAATTACCCAGCTTCTGAGTAGCTGGTTCTGTTGACAGCACCGAGTTTTACCCTGCAGGCAACTCAGGGTCAGCATGGGCCTTAGCCTTCATGGGTAACTATTCAGGAATAAAGGTTTCTCTTCCTGGGCTGATTTAGCAGTAAGAGAAAAAAACAAACAAACAAACAAACAAAAAAACAAGGCCAGCTTTAATGATGCAGGCCTTTAATCTCAACACTGAGGAGGTGGTGGCAAGTAGATCTTTGAGTTCAAGAACAGCCTGTTTGACAGAGCAGTCACAGCCGAGTTTCTTTACCTGTTCAAATGGAGACACTGACTTCTAAGAATTAATGAAGACTTTTAAGATACAAGTGGTACCCTTGAAATCTGGCAACACTGCATACCCAAAAGAAACTTTTAAAAAAGACACGGCAACAGACTTCAACAGTAAATGCATTTCATGAAGAGTTTACTGCTACCCAAGGCTGCCCTTCTGACCTTATCTGAAGGAGAGCAGGCAAGGAGTGCTCAGCCTGGAGGTAATACTGGCGGAATGGCTGCAATAGGTGAGCAAGTGGGAACTCATCTGAAAGAGAAAGGTACAACATGTCACCTTGCTTGCTATTAACAGTGCACTCTCAAGGCAGGTGATTGAGCCTCTGATTATGACAACAGGGTAACTTCATCTTCTCTGTAACCCTGACTTTCACCATAGAGCTGAGAATCTCAACCTGTAGTCAGGACTTCCTTTCGGAGTAAATTAGGTTTCTCATGATAAAAAGAACTGTCAACTTAGATCTTTCCTCCCTCTCCACTGGTAAGGATAAACTTACCCGGATCTCCAAATAACTTGGACTCGATTTCTCGTTTCTGAAGTAAAAGCTTCTCTTTCTCTTTTCTCTGTTTCTTTTCTAATTCTCTTTTCCTCTCTTCCTCCTGTTCTCCTTCTAGCATAACTCGGAGGGCTCTCTCTTCAGCTTCATACAGTTCAGAGCGCTTTTTAATGAGTTTTCTCAGTCGCTGAAGATGATGCTCAAAAGTCTCATCTGCTGAGGCAGGAGGACAGACCCCTGTACAAAGAGAAGCAAATGGAAGTTCCTTCGTCTCTACATTGCTAGGCAGTAAAAAGACAGGTAAGAGGAACACCTCTGCAGCACTTGCCATGGGCTTTACACACGCTTCCTAATACAGCAGGGAAACCAGCTGAGAAACTGATGCACCATCTGCCACTGTCAGGTGGAGGCACCTTTTCCTTCTATCTCTCTGACCTATTTTGATTTCTTTATTGAATTCTCTACTTTGACATCCTCTAGAAGTTTGTCTTTTTGGCCTTCATCTCATATTATAATCTCAAGGTCGTTCCAACTCATGCTACATGCTGATGAACTAACTCATCTGGGTTTCTGTGGGGGAGTGGTATGTACATATACATACTTGCGCAAGTGCACATGTGTGTGCACACGCATCCCCATGCACCAGAACAGCATCCTGTTCTATCATTCTTTGTCTTGTTCCCGTGAAGCAGGGTCTCTCACTGAACCTGGAGCTAGGTTGGCACCTAGCAATCCTAGCTATTCTCCTGAGTATACCCCCCAGCCTCACACTGGGATTACAGGCATATGGTGACAACTGGCCTTTTACATGGGTCCTGGGGATACAAAAGCAGGTGCATACACCCTGTGTCACCTCCCCAACCCCTTGCTGATAAACTCTCATCCAGAATAGATACACCTCTTTCTAGAAAGACACACCTCCCAATCCTTCCTAAACAGTGCCACTAACCAGGGCCCAAGCATTCAAATACGTGAGCCTATAGAGATATAGAGACCATTCTTTTTTTTTTTTTTTGATTTTTCAAGATAGGGTGTCTCTGGTCTCTGTAGCTTTGGAGCCTGTCCTGGAGCTAGCTCTTGTAGACCAGGCTGGTGGAGGTCATTCTTTTTTTTTTTTTTTAATATTTATTTATTTAGTATACAATATATCCCTTCAGGCCAGAAGAGAGCACCCGACCTCATTACAGATGGTTGTGAGCCACCATGTGGTTGCTGGGAATTGAACTCAGGACCTTTGGAATAGCAGACAATGCTCTTAACCCCTGAGCCATCTCTCCAGCCCCTGGTGGAGGTCATTCTTAAATCAAATTTTCTGAAGCTTTTTGCTTCAAAATTTCAGAGTCAGACACAGTAGGTGGCCCATACAATTCCAGAACTCATGTGGTAGAAGCAGAGGTATCAGCAGTTCAAGGCTTGCCTTGGTTACTACATAGGAAGTGTGAGGCCAATTTGGGCCTCAAAAATACAAAACAGCCAGGTGTGATAGCACATAACTTTAATCCCACACTTGGAAGATAGAGTTAGGTGGATTCCTGCAAATATGAGGTCAGCCTAGCCTATACCTATAATGAACTCCAGGCCAGTCAAGGCTTACATAGTGAGATATTATATAAAAATCCAAAATAAAACTGGGCATGGTGGTGGACGCCTTTAATCCCTGCATTCAGGAGGCAGAGGTAGGAGGATCTCTTTGACTGTTAACCCAGCCTGGTGTACAAAGTAAGTTCCAGGATGGCCAACCACCCAACCAAATTAAATAATTATTCTTATACAACATAATACTAAAATATAGAAATTTGATATTTACAGCCTGAGAAATTACAGCATAAAAATCATTAACATCATCTTTAGGGGGCTGGAGAGATGGCTCAGAGGTTAAGAGCACTGCCTGCTCTTCCAGAGGTCCTGAGTTCAATTCCCAACAACCACATGGTTGGTGGCTCACAATCATCTGTAATGAGATCTGGTGCCCTCTTCTGGCCTGCAGGCATACATGCAGACAGAACACAATACATAATAAACCTTTTTAAAAACATCATCCTTGTTCGGGGTTACAGAGATGGCTCAGTAGTTAAGAACACTTGTTGCTCTTGCAGAAGACCCATTTGGTTCCCAGCACACACATGATGGCTTAAAACCATCTGTAACTCCAACTCCAAGGTATCAACACCCTCTTCTTTCATCCACAGGTATTTACACACACACCATACAAACAGATAGCCACACATACACATTAAAATTAGGTTTAAAGAAAAAAGTCAATCCCAAATTTCTGAGCTACTGTTGTCAAGTCTACTTACTCTAGAGAGTAAAAATAATTAAGTACCAAATGTTCTTACTCCAAAAATATTTGCAAGCCAAGCATGGTGGCCCAGGCCTGTGATCTCTACAATAAAGAAGCTGAGGCAGGACAACTGTCACAAGTTCAAAGCCAGCATGAGCTTCTGAGCTGAGATTCTAGCTACAAAGAAGAAACAAAAGATGAGGAAAAGGTAAGAAAAGGAAAACACATTCACACGATATTATGTGTACAATATTTAGGATAGAGAGGTACTAGGATAAAGGAGGAGGAAGAGGGAGAAAAAGGAAGTAAAAATGCAAAACTGTACTTACCTTTCCTCGCTGCAGCTTCTTTCCTCAGTTTCCTCAATTTCTCTAAAGCACGCAGAATGTCCACCATTCTTTTAGTGTCTGATTGTTTTTTCCTTACTTCAGATAAGACACCATCAGCAGCCGCTTTAAGTTCCTGTTCCTGAAGGGGAAAAAAGTCCACAAGAACCTGCATTAGGAACCTCCTCACAATCCACTACACCTTCCTGGAGGCAAACTTTCAGAGGGTCAGGCCATCCACAACAGACCACTGAGTCTATATTTCTGTTTCCCAGGCCTGGCACGCTACACTATTCAGTCAAGGACTTCGTTGCCTGGTTAATGATACAACCATGGCTGCTTTGTTTGCTCTGAGACTGACCCTGTGGAACCCAGGCAGGTCCTGACTGAACTCCCTATCTTCTTACCTCAGTCTCCCATTGATGTGATCCACCTCTCCCAGCCCATCTCCCGTTTTTTGGATTTTGTTTTATTTCTAAGAGATGGTCTTACTCTGCAGCCCAGACTGGCTTCAAACTGCAGCATTCCACCTGCCTCAGCCTCCCAAGGGCTGAAATCATAGATGTGAGTCACCCAACTCCATATAACGTTCTTTGAGGGGAACCTCTTCCCTCAGCAGCTTCAATACCTGTACTGAGTTCTTCTCAGTGTTCCCAGGTGTGATCCAGGAGTGCCTGCTTCTATTTTACCTTGTCAAGCTTTAGTTCTATTAAAAATGAAGACTATCTGTAGGCACCACAATCCCTGACTTCAAACTCTACTACCGAGCTACAGTACTGAAAACAGCCTGGTATTGGCATAAGAACAGACAGGAGGACCAATGGAACCCAATAGAAGACCTGGATATCAGTCCACACATCTTCCAACACCTGATATTTGATAAAGAAGCAAAAAATATCAAATGGAAAAAAGAAAGCATATTTAACAAGTGGTGCTGGCATAACTGAATATCAACATGTAGAAGAATGAAAATAGACCCATATCTATCACCATGCACAAAACTCAAGTCCAAATGGATCAAAGACCTCAACATAAAGCCAGCCACACTGAACCTTATAGAAGAGAAAGTGGGAAGTGCACTGGAACGCATTGGCACAGAGAACCACTTCCTAAATATAACCCCAGCATCACAGACACTGAGAGAAACAATTATAAATGGGACCTCCTGAAACTGAAAAGCTTCTGTAAAGCAAAGGACACAGTCAACAAGACAAAACTACAGCCTACAGAATGGGAAAACATTAACACCACATCAGACAGAGGTCTGATCTCCAAAATATACAAAGAACTTAAGAGAAAAAAAAAATGGAGTATAGACCTAAACAGAGAACTCTCAACAGAGGAATCTAAAATGGCTGAAAGACACTTAAGGAAATGTTTAACATCCTTAGTCATCAGAGAAATGCAAATCAAAACAACTATGAGATTCCATCTTACACCTGTAACAATGGCCAAGATCAAAAACACTGATGACAACTTATATTGGAGAGGTTGTGGGAAAAAGGGAACACTTCTGCATTGCTGGTGGGAATGCAAGCTGGTACAACCCCTTTGGAGGTCAGTGTGGTGATTTCTCAGAAAATTAGGAAACAATCTTCCTCAAGACCCAGTAATACCACTTTTGGGTATATATATCCAAAGGATGCTCAATCATGTCACAAAGACATGCGTTCAACTATGTTCATAGCAGCTTTGTTTGTCATAGCCAGAACCTGGAAACAACCTAAATGCCCCTCGAAGAATGGATAAGAAAAATGTGGTACATTTACACAATGCAGTACTACTTACTCAGCAGAAAAAAAGTAATGACAGCTTGAATTTTGGAGGAAAATGGATGGATCTAGAAAACATATTGAGTGAGGTAACCCAGACCCAGAAAGAAAATTATCACATGTACTCACTCATAGGTGGTTTTTAAACATAAAGAAAAGAAAACCAGGGACTGGAGAGATGGCTCGGTGGTTGGGAGCATTGCCTGCTCTTCCAAGGGTCCCGAGTTCAATTCCCAGCAACCACATGGTGGTTCACAACCATCTATGGAGAGGTCTGGTGCCCCCTTCTGGCCTGCAGACATGCACACAGACAGAATATTGTATACATAATAAATAAATAAATAAATATTTAAAAGAAAAGAAAACCA